GAATGTTATTTAAGATATAACATCACACACATGTATTTACTAAGTATTATCAATTACAGAACCTTAAACATTTCTGTAAACTTTCTGTCACCACTGACTTATCCCTATACAGAAGAATATTCTTAACACTTTTTCCCTTTTGTGTCACAAGATTAATAATAAAGCTGTGTGAGATGTGCTACTTAAAAAATGACAACTCCACCTCATTTTATTTAGTTAAAATGCTTGTGACAGGAAACTTAACCTTTTCTAATCTTTAAAAAAACAAGTAAATCATTTTTAAACTTTAGTATTTTAACAATAATATATAACAAATCACTTACAATCTAACTCATTCTTAATCATGTATCATCAATGTGTACACACCATCACTACTGGTATTCTAGAACAATATTACAAATTAATGTCCTAACCCAAATATTCTTGGCCCAACGCTATCTACAAACTACAGAAAATCTAAGAAACCAGGTGAGATCTACAATCTTTTTATAAGCCTATAATAACTAATGTGATTTGTGCCACGCTTTTGGCATTCTTACCCCTCTTTATCTTTCAGCTGTGATACTGTTAACCAATAGTGCTTTAGTATTTGCTTTCCCATTAAAGTTGACTTGTCCTTCATTAGGGCAAAGAGATAAATGTTGGGCACCAGGAAATACAGATAAGAAGACCACCATGTAGCCTGCCTGTTCTAAGTTCCAAGGATTTTATGATTTACTTTTTCTCTTCATTTAGGAATGTCAAGCTCTCTTAAGTGAGACATACTCAGTCTTTTATTTTTCTGCTTCTTATAGCACATAGCTCCTATGATCATATTTTCCAAATAAAAAACCTAGAACACATTATCTGACAATGTCTGACAGACTGCCAGACAATAGGCCAGATCATTTGAAATTTAGGATTATGTCAGAGGGTCCCCTCGATCACACCCAGTTCAACAAATCCCTAGCATAACCTATAGTTCTATTCCTTGCTATGGGGTAGACTCCAAGGGAAACCAAGCACAAATTTCCAAAGGCTCTGTCTTGTGGAGTCACACAGGATACATTTAATGCTCTACATCAGTGATAGAGAATTTTTTAGAGCTTTCAATAACACAAGCATCCCACGGTGGCACACATGCCATAGGTTCGCCACCACTGCTCTAACTAATCAGCTATGAAAACATATCATATGTGAAATGTTACCAGTGAGGAAAGCTCATTAGGGACCCAATATCCAGACCTTTTAATTGGGTATTAATAATGCAAATATCTCTCACACATAAATTTCAGAATCTCAGAAGGTGTTCAGCTTAAACAATATTATTTGTATATGCAGTGTATATATGGGGAGCGCTACTGTATCAGTAATGATGGGAACCTTGTTGAAATCTAAGTTTTCAGACTTCAGTCAAAGGCCAACTTTGCAAACAGTCCTTTTCAAGGGTAGCAGTTTAGAACTACTATGTTAACTCTTTTCTGCAAAGAATAGTGTATTCCAAAAATCCAAGAAAGAAGAAAGAGATACAAGAAACACACATCAAGCTCTATTATTCCACGTCCTTGTAAAATTAAAACTTTCTTTATGATTCCCTATTTTTTATACCATTCTTGCAATACCAAAATCCGAACCATAATAATGTTTTTTACTCATTATATAAAGACAACTATCAGGTCTTGCTGAATCTTCCTTATAATAACTTCTCAAATTCACCATATTCTTGTCACTCTTGTGATCAAGATGCTAATCAATTCATGCCTGGTTGAGAACAGTTATGTCTTAACAGCACTCACTGCCTCTAGACTTTCTTTCTAACATATTTAACACATTCCTACTACATTAATTCATAATTGTGTTCATCATGCAACTCCATTCAAAATCATTCAGTGGTTCAAAAATAATAGTAAACTTTCTAGTGGCTTTATACCAGCTTAGTTTTAATTTTCCTATACATACCTTTTAGTCTAGATCAAACTGAAATGCTCCTTATACACCTGCTATAGCTTAAATGTGCCCCCCAAAACCCTGTGTGTTAAAGGTTGTGGGTGTTAAGGGTTGGATCTAGACGTCTCCCCAAAGCCTCATGTATCATAAGCTTGATTTAGAGTGTTTTGATTCATGATGCAATGCTAGGTTCAAAGGCACTAGAATTAAGGGTGTGAGTGCTGACTGCTTTAAGTAGTCTGAATAAGATAAATGGGGTAGGGAGGCAGTGTTAAAATTCTCCCTTGTTGCCTTTGCTACTTTGTGTGCACCATGTTTATTCTGCTTTTCCATGCCTGTTTGTCATCTCTGCCTTGCAGTTAGCCAATTATGGACTAAAACTTCTACAAATTATAAGTCAAATAAACCCCCTCCTCTCCAACTTTGGGCATTGGGTATTTTGTCTCAGCAATGAGAGAAAAGTAACTAACACACAGGGCTATTGAGAGGTAGCTAAACCTTTAAGAGGCAGGGCTGAGTGGGAGTACATGGGATGTGCCCATGAAGGGGACACTGGAACTCCAGCCTCTTCTTGTCTCTCTTTGCCACTCTGCTTCCATGAGGTAAGGGCTTCCTCCGCCACATGATGATGGATGCCATTATGATGTGAACACCAGAGATCCAAAAGCAATGGGCCCATTAACCATGGACTGAAACCTCTAAAACTGTGAGCCCAAAATCAATCTTTCCTTCCTGTAAGTTATCACCTCAAGTTTATTTTTTTTGTTACAATGACAAAAAGATGACTAATACAACATGTAACAGATAATACATTCTGTGCTACGTTTTTGTTCAAAGACATTTCCTTCACTTTGCTTACCCTGTACCTTGCCTGACTCCCCATTTACCTATAAAAATTCCACTATTTTATCAATTCATTAACCCATTCAACATTTATTTACTAAATACTTCCATGTCAGGCAGGATTTTAAGCACTGGACCCTATACATTCATTCGAAGCACACTTCGAGTCCTACCTTTTCCAAGAAATTTCCATAGTTTAAGATTTCTCTTCTTACAGACTTACCTATATTTCTCATATTCCCTATTGTGTGTACAGATTTAATAGAAAGACAAACAGATAGAAATATGTAAATAGATCTGATACTCTCTAGACTGTAAACACCTAGGGTTTTGATTTTTTATTTTCATTTATACAAGCAGTATTTGGCACAATGCTTTTTATAGTTAAATATACTGTTCAAGTTTGTTGATTTAAATACATGGCTTTCAACACATAGATTTTAAAAAGCAAATAACAACATTAAAAAATCCTTATCTGTTAACACTCTGTCTTCAAATGCCAAGCCACCTGACGCTTCTCTCTACTGCCATAAAGTCTGATTTGACCATTTTGCCCAAGATGACTGACCTTCCTGCTGAATCCGAAAGATCATCACAGGAAGATATGCTTATCATTTGCTTCGCACATTGTTATTATTTTGCATCGTTAGAAAGATAACCATATGCTCCAAAATTTGCCTGGATCAGTTGTTTTTTTATTTTTATTTATTTATGTATTTATTTTGGTATCGGGGATTGAACTCAGGACCTTGTGCTTGCAAGGCAGGCAGTGAATCCACTGAGCTAAATCCCCAGCCCAAGGGTTGGTTCTGATTAACTCCTGCTTCTCTAGTTGGATGTACTCCTTTACTATCAAAAATATTCCAGTCTGGCTGATGAATTACATGATCACATTATTTATTAATGACATTTCCATATGTGTGCTTAACCTCAGCTAGACTTTAAATTTTTGAAGTAAATATTTATTTCATTCTTTTTAACATCTCTTTCAACATTCAGTTAATATTTGAATGAATATGAATAAAAATAAATGAAGTAATAATGTTTCATTGGCATAGGCTAATACAATAGGACAAACAAAAAATTAAGAATTGAGAACAATTTCTATATGAAAATCAATAAAAGGTGGTATTAAGAGAATACCTACTTTCTATTCTTGTCTTTGATCTTGTATCTTTATTTCCATCTGTATTTCCTGTCTATCACACTTGGCCTGTGGCACACTGCCATTGTTTCCAAAAGGTGCCATCACTTTTTATCCTAAGCTACTCTAGTACTTCCAGCCTTTACCTTGACCAGAAATAACTTACCAAAGCAGAAATGCATTAAATGAAAGGCAAACAGGCAAGAATCTATTTTAAATGTCAACATTTAACATGTTAAATTTCACTTACTTCCTCAGATTTTAATTCCATATTTTCCAAATATGTAACTGTTCCCCTTTCATTATTTACTGAGAAAATATTAAAACTGTTTAAAATTTTTAAAATCTAAAATACTACATTATATTACCATTTTTCAGAGGTAGACTTTTCAACTTCATGTGAGTTTTCGAATAACAAATTATTCACAGGAAACAAGCAGTCGTTTGACTTTAGCATTGTTGAAAGCTGGACTTTATCATAAATCTACAGGATAAAATAAAAGTAGTTTATATTTTATTTACAAAGATACAGAACAATATAAAGAAGTAATGCAGAATCATTAATTTTCCAGAATATCTGGTAAAATATAACCACAGACAAGTCTTCCAGCTTCATCACCTATAACTTCCTCCAAAATGCTTCATTAAAGAAATTCATTATTCTTTGCTTCTCTACTCATTAATGTCTTTTTACACTTGTGTCCTCTCCTCATATTGTCCCAATGCCTAGAATGCATTTTCTTTCATTCTCCACATGGCAAATTCTTACCCATCCTTCAATATACACGTCACCACTTCTAGGCATATGCTACTTTTTTCTCATTCCAGTTATCGCCCCCTGTGAATCAACACTACATTGAATTTTTTCTAAATTGTGAAACATGATAGCACATTCTGTATGTAAAAACATGAAAACAGATGTACCAATCATAAAACTTAAATTACATTTCTATTCCTTATGAGGTCATTAATATACTGCAAATTTATCCTCAGAATAGAAATTTAAATCAAAGAAACTATATGAGCACCATCTTGTGGAGAAAGCCTCATTGCTAATTTAGATGATGTTTCTTTAACATTGAGACTTCCCTGATACAGGCATGAGACACAAGTAGAAGTGATGCAGAAGATGTACCTATGTTCATCTCTTCAGAAAATGCTACAGGTAAGAGTGTTAAACCTGCAAATACTTTAGGACTGATCCAGAACACTGAATTGTGAGGTTTTTCATTGTTTTAGTTATTGGGGTCCCTCTCCAACATGTTTAATTGCCCTCTTTTCCTCAATTTATTAATTACTCAGATATTAATAAAAAGAGATAGTAAAAAATTAGTGTGGCTTTACAAATGTCTAAAGCAATTAGACTATTAATGAAAAATAGAAGCCCGAATAGGCCTAAAATAACAGCATAGCAGGCAGAAGAGTCATTTAGAAATATACTAACAGAACCTGTCTTGCTTTGTTTGTTTAAGGTACTGGGGATCAACTCTAGGGCCTTATATATACTATGTAAGTACTCTTCCACTGAGCTACATCCCCAGCTTGCTTACAGAGTTTTAATATCTTTATGCATATAACCAATTTCAAAACCTGAACAATTATCTGAAAATCGTAAATGAAAATAGCAGTTATTTTTTATATTGTCTAACAAGTAATGTTTCCAGTCTAATTTTAGAAGTATGCATTTTTAACCAACAAAAAAACTTTACCAGACCACTTTTATGTAGTTTTGCTACCTCGGAATTTAATCAGAAAATCTTAAGACTAACATTTATATGCCTGAATTCTTTATCCTAAACAAAACTGCAAATAAGATTTTCTTAAAAATTACAAAGAATTTTTGAGAAAAAAAAGTGGGACTTAATACAAAAATCCTCCTATATTAACAGCAAATACTGTTAGAACTTTTGATTTCCAATTCTAGCATAAAAGATAATATTGTTTTGGTTCAGAATAAAAATTTTGTATGTATTTTTAGTTCCGATGCACTCCTATAGGAAAAAGATAATCCTTATCTAAAATCCTCAGCCAGGCATGGTGGCCCACACCTGTAATCCCATCACTTGGGAGGCTGAGGCAGAAGGATCACTGTGAGTTCAGATCCAGCCTGGGCTACATAGTGAGTTCAAGGCCAGTCTCAACTACATAGTGAGACCCTATCTCAAAAAACAAAAAAACAAACAAAAAAATCCATAAAATCCTCTACTTTCTCATCCTGCATTTTTCTTTATAGCACTAACAGATAATTGACATTATATGTTTAATTGTTTACTATCTTTCTCCCTTAAGAGCAAAAGGGATTTATGCTTATTAATACTTTACAATAACCCAAAGCAGTGGTTAGCATATAGTAATGATCCATGAAAATTCACTGTGGGATAAATGCATTAGCAATGATAAATTTTAAAAAGTAATTTTAAGTAAAACCAATTTTCAATTAACAATGAAAATATACCCCCCACCTTTCAATTTTAAAAAATTTTTCTCAGGATTCATAAAATCATATCACGAAGGTTCTAAAACAATAAATTTGGCACTTTCATTATGTTAAAAAAATCTTTTTTATAAAACCCTAAAAGGAACCTTGCTACATTTCAGTGTGCGTTTGTGATGTAAGGGGGATGACTAAATTTTGAATTCAAGTTCTAAATTCCCATGTTAGATTTTTTTTTTATTACAAAGTTTTTGTTTCAGCATGTGGTAGTTATACTGGAGCACAACAGATACCATCCCAAGCAGTTTGCTTTGTGTGACTAAATTTCTTTCCCTGTAGAGAGGACTCGCACCTACTCTACATGACGACAATTTAGCATTTTCTTATTCTCTGAAACCCTTACTTGATAACATTTTCAGATTTGGTACTCGCTCCTTATAATTTTTACTCTTACAAGCAGACATACTTCAAAAGTACCTCAAATCGTATATAATAACTGAACGGCTGGAAACTCTCAGTGAAGAAGCAGGGGTCAACACTGAGTGGAATCACCGCGCGCCGCAAAAGCCTACAGGCAACTGGGCAAAGTCAGCGCGCGAACGCGCGGGGCCTCCACTCGGCGCCGACCGGAAGAGCGGAAGCGACCCAGGCCGCCCGC